GTGTGAGATGCGTGAGATGCGGTGTGTGCACGCGTGTGCGCGTGAGATGCGGTGTGTGCACGTGTGTGTGCGCGTGTGAGATGCGTGAGATGCGGTGTGTGCACACGTGTGCGCGTGTGAGATGCGTGAGATGCGGTGTGTGCACACGTGTGCGCGTGTGTGAGATGCGGTGTGTGCATGTGTGTGCACACGTGTGCGCGCGTGAGATGTGTGAGATGCGGTGTGTGCACGTGTGTGCACGTGTGTGAGATGCGGTGTGTGCATGTGTGTGCGCGTGTGTGAGATGCGTGAGATGCGGTGTGTGCACGTGTGTGCGCATGTGTGAGATGCGGTGTGTGCACGCGTGCGCGTGTGAGATGCGGTGTGTGCACGTGTGCGCATGTGAGATGCGGTGTGTGCACGTGTGTGCGCGTGTGTGAGATGCGTGAGATGCGGTGTGTGCACGTGTGTGTGCGTGTGAGATGCGTGAGATGTGGTGTGTGCACGTGTGTGCGCGTGTGAGATGCGGTGTGTGCACGTGTGTGCGCGTGTGTGAGATGTGTGAGATGCGGTGTGTGCGCGTGTGAGATGCTGTGTGTGCACGCGTGTGTGCGTGTGAGATGCGGTGTGTGCACGCGTGTGCGCGTGCGTGAGATGCGGTGTGTGCACGCGTGTGCGCATGTGTGAGATGCGCGAAATGCGGTGTGTGCACGCGTGTGCGCGTGTGTGAGATGCGTGAGATGTGGTGTGTGCACGTGTGCGCGCGTGTGTGAGATGCGGTGTGTGCAGACGTGTGCGCGTGAGATGCGGTGTGTGCACGTGTGTGAGATGCGTGAGATGCGGTGTGTGCACGTGTGTGCGTGTGTGTGAGATGCGGTTGTCTCTTGAGCCCCGGGCCGGCACCGAGAAGCCACCAGGTGTCGCTGTTGTCACCTGCAGGCTCGCCCTGCCATGGACCCCACATCCGCCCTCCCCCAAAGTGGAGACAACCGGGGCCTGGGGGACCTTCCTAGCTGCCTTGCTGGGGGAAGCCTCTGTAAGAAACCCAGAGCTAGAGTCCAGTGCTTCTCAAAGTGGGGTCCCTGGGCCAGCAGCATCAGCAGCACCCGGGAACTTGTTAGGAACACAAATCTGCATTTTCAGGACCCACCCCAGGCTTCCTGAATTTGAAACCCAAACCATGTGCCATCAGGCCCTCTGGGAGATTCTGCTGTGGCTCAGTTCAGATCCATGGTTTTGATCATTAGTAATCACCCCCATAAGCCCCACACTTGCTGCTAGGGGACAGCAGCTCAGCTTGAGCCCAGGGCACAGTCCCTGCCCCCGGAGCGAGACCCAGAGAAACTGCAGGGACGGGAAAAGACCAGTGCAGGACTGCCATGTACAGTTGTGAAGACTGTTCACTGCACAAGTTTACCCGGTAAGAGGAGAGGGGATGGAGGGGCTAAACTACAACCCACACACAGCTGAAACTGGAAGAGGGAGAATGCCACATTCCACTTCACACAAACAGGTTGTCTCCTCTCTGAGCTGGGCCCCAGAAAGGATGCCTCAGCCTGACTCCTCAGTGGTACCCTGCAGGAGGGGCAGGCTGGGGTCTGTCACCCTTCTCGGGGGACCAGTTTTGGCTCTGAAAGCCCCATTTCCCAGAAAATCCTGTAAAACTAAGTCTTGAGTCATGGGAACCACCCCAATCCCAGACACAATGGGATGGCTGGTCACCTACTTCTGTCCCCAGGCCAGGACCCCAAACAGCCCAAGCTGGGGTTTGGCTATCCTGTAGCGTGCCTGCTTCCCTAGCTGCTCAGAAATGTTGCGGGCCAGCTATGCCGGGGTGGGGTGAGGGATGGCACATCTCTGCTTCCAGCTGGAGCTGGAGAGATGAGATCAGTCTCTGGGCCTTCAAGTCCATCTACACATCGATCCACCTAGCCATCTAGCCATCCATCCACCCACCATCCATCCATCCATCCACCCACCCACTCACCCATTCATCCATCCACCCACCCACTCACCCATTCATCCATCCACCCACCCACTCACCCATTCATCCATCCACCCACC